GGGGGGGAGTTAAGAATGGGAAGTGGTAGAATTAGAGGGGAGTTTGGCTGTTACTAATGTGTCGCGAAGGTTGGGGGAGCGACTGAAGGCGACAACTGGCAGTTGAGGAAAAGCTTTTTTGCAGAGGTTAGAAGACTGCAGTAGATGCCAGTGTTTTTTGATGATGTTGGAGATGTGAGGAAGCGACGGATTAAGAGTAGCTATAAATGGAATACGGTTAGGTTTTTTTACGTCTTTAGTTTGTAAGGTGAATGTGCGGGAGATGTCAGCGGCGCGTTGTATTTGTTTGGTGACGAATTTATGGTTGTAACCTCGTTTGAGAAGGTATGAGGTAAGTTCAGCGGCGCGAGTCTCAAAAGCTTTATCTGTAGAACAGATACGTCGTAGGCGGAGCGCTTTAGACTGAACGGAATGGCTTTTTTTGGTATGTAATGGATGGCAAGAAGAGTGCAATAGATACATATGTTTGTCTGTGGGTTTGGTGTAGAGGTTAGTGGAGATATTACCGTCGGTGGTTAAAGAGACACTTACGTCAAGGAAAGCCACATTAGTGGAAGAGTGTGAGCTGGTGAATTTGATGGTGGGGTGGATATTGTTAAGACAATCGACGAAAAGTTTTAGGTTATCTAAACCTTCGGTCCAGACCATAAAGATATCGTCGATGTATTTAAACCAAGTGTGGGGTTTACATGGGGCATTTTTCAAAGCGTTACCTTCGAAAAGACCCAGAAAAAGGCTAGCGAAAGAAGGGGTCATTTTGGTACCCATGGCTGTGCCGTGAACTTGGAGCTAATGAGCATTATTAAAAGTAAAATTGTTCATGGTAAGAACCATACGAATGAGATCACAAAGTGTGACGGCAGGAATAGGGGTATTGGAGGAGGTACACAGAAAATGGTCACAGGCATTAATACCTTCGTTATGTGGGATATTGGTGTAGAGGGATGAAACATCAAGTGTAACTAGTAAAGAATTAGGGGGCAAATTACCAATGTAAAACAGTTTGTTGAGGAAGTCATTGGTGTCTTTGATATAAGATGGTAGTTTGTGAACGAGTGGTTGAAGGTAGTGGTCAACAAACTGAGATATTAGTTCAGTGGGGTGGCTATTGGATGAGACAATACCACTTAACCCGTATATTATAAACTGGTGGCTAGGTTTTTTGCGATAAAGAAAACAGAGAGTTATTCTTGGCAGTTGCGGTTGTGATTGGAAAACTGTAAACAAAGGAACAACCAGGGGCGTAGCCAGGATTTTCAAAGGGGGGGTCACATTAGTACCCACAGAGAATATAAACAAGCGAAAAACTACGACGCCTTTGAAAAAGAGACGTATACCACAGAACAAGGTTCTTTAGACCCGTTTACATCTCAGAAACAGAAAGAGCATTGTTTCCACTTAACAAATGGATTCTGTTCTTATAATTGTTTTTGTAGAATTAACTATATTGAAAGACTATTTTTTCAGTTCCAGTTTGAGTCGTCAGAATCAAATTAGAAGTCAAACTTAAAAATTGACGGTTAGTTGTAACAATTAGTTCTGTTTTCTTTACCATGGAAGGTGGATGACTGTGTAACCTTTTAAAGTAAAACTTATATATAGTTGACAACTGATCAAGCCTTCAATTATGGGTCTAGAAAGTGAAACCAACTAAATTGTAAGTGAAATAAACCACATTTCTAAACGTTTTTATGACTGCTTGCTGACATTTTGGATTTAAGTCCTACCCATCCCCATGTAGTCTGATTTTAAGCAAGTTATATGCAACTGCCTGCCAAAATGTTCCAAATTAAACGAAAAAATAGTGGCGTTACTTGCTGGACCACCTCACTTCCCCCCCTCAAAAAGAAAAAAGAAAAATTATAATAAGTGAATTAATAAACGTTGAACCAATTCCAAAGGGGAATACTGGTTACCGGTTGTTTTGTTCCCACAGTTAAGCAAAATGGTGTTTTTATTTGGAAAGTCCTAATTAACCCTTCAACTCCCAAGATCTGATTGTCAATTCTTCCCTACACCTGCTACACATTTCTTTGTAAATTAGTTACAAATATTTAATGCTAGATCAAGGTAACAACTTCTGCCTGCTAAGTTTGAATATTCTCATAACCTGTTTGCTGGATAACGTATGGATATTAAAGGGGGAAGTTATGTGTAAATCTCTTGACAGAATTTTGCTTGTACCTTTCTCCCTTGACTACGCTAACTTGTCATTTGCGACAATCAACACATGTTCATGCCCCTGTACAAGGTATTTTGGATGACTTGCGATTCAGATACAAAGTATCTCAAACTAGGTTTGAATTGACCAAATTTGGGTACAAAAGTACCAAAATTTCACTGTACTTTTCACCTCTAACAAACAGTCGACACTGCTAATAAGCAGTTGTGGTCACCCTTGACAGAGTTCCAACACCATGTTTGTATTGTCCTCCACCTGTATTGAACGGTCACTAAGTGCAGAAGCACTCAAACAAAACTAGGAATAATCTTTCAAGTACAATTACATCCACGCTTATCTGCCACAAAACAGATGTTAACAACATTTTTAGCAAGTTTTTGTACATTTCATGGTCACTTATGGCATAAATGATGTTTGTCATCATTTTTTACAGTACCCCTATTCTGTGAAACCTGTATTTAGCACTCAACCTGTATAAAGTGGTCACCCTTCCACCCCCCATGGATGACTGCTTAATACAGATTTGACTGTAGTAGGGATACAAGAATACAAGGCTGTAAACCTGTTTCTATCACCACTTAACTTAAATTAAACACAAATGAATAAAGGCTGATAGTTTCTAAAGAAACTGTTTGTGGCTGCGTCGGTGGGGGTAACAAAATAATTTAGATATATCAACAAAGTTTAAATGGTAAATTGGTCACCGTAACGATTACAAAAGCTGACGTTTCGAGCGTTAGCCCTTCGCCGGAGCGAATAGAGGAATTGTGGGTTGTGTGTGCTTTTAAAGGCAGAAAATGGAGCTACGTTATTGGTGGGAACATGGCAACGAGAAAAACACGAATAAATTAGTGGAATGAAAAGCGTTCGTTGATCCCTGTAAGATTTAGACTGCAGTTTTGAAAGATGAGCTTTTGTTCAAGAGTTTTACGGCTTTCAGTGCTACTTAAGTGTACGGAAAGACCACAGATTGCCATATGTTGCTTAGAATGATTAGGTAAATTAAAATGTCTAGCGACTGGTTTCGATGTGTCCTTGTCATTTCTTTCTACGTCTCGAAGGTGTTCTCGGAATCGGTCACCTGGTCTTCTGCCTGTTTAGCCGATGTATATCTTTTTGCAATAAGTGCAAGTTTTGCCATAGATTACACCGGCGGAGGTGCACGTGAAGTGATCGGTGATCTTAATGGATCGTTTAGCTAGGTCCCGATATTTTATCAGAGCTGTGAATGAAAGGACACGTTTTGCATCGTGCACGAGCGCATTTAAAAGTGTCTGTTTGGTCATTAGTCTGAAAAGAACTTCTGACCAAAAAATTGCCTATGTTTCTGTCGGGTTGGAATGAAATGAGCGGAGGCTGCGAAGGGGAGAGTGCTTGTCTCTGGATCATTTTGAAGTAATTTAAAGTTTAAAAGAATGATGGATTTAACTGAGTGGTTGTGAGGGTGAAACGTGAGAGTGAATGGAGTGCGGTCGGAATCTTCCTTATGCGACGTTTGTAGTGCTGAATGTCGATCAATAAGTTGGGCGCGGTGGTAACCCGCTTGAACGACAGAAACAGGGTAACCACGTTTATCGAAAAACTGGCACATTGACTCTGATTTGTGGTGGAAATCAGAGTCATCACTACATAAACGACGAAGTCTTAGAAACTGAGAAAAAGGAATGGAATTCTTAACGTGAGATGGATGCGAAGACGAATATAACAAGTAATTATGCGATAACCGCTTCAATTCTTTGCACCCGGCTCTGAAATACACCTGGAAAATTTCTGACAATTCTTTATCCTTTTTAGACATCAAAGTTTCAATTGAAGGCAACGGTTTATGCACTAGTGTGTATTACAAACCTACAGACTCGCATTGTCTGTAGGTTTATTAAACCTTTTTTAATTCTATTTTCTAATTCTTTTTTAAAATTAAACACCTTTTTTAATTCTAAACATAATGTACAGTTACAGATTGAAATACTGTATACTTTGGTCAAAACTGATGCATGCGGTTACTTTGGATTCGTTTCTTTGCTAAGGTTACACAAATCGCCTAATCAGCTCTTTTATTATTTCATTTTTAGATTTTGACCCCGCTGGATATAAAGCTATGTCATGATAATATGATTTACGGTCTCAAAATGTTCATACTAATACATGGTAGTTTTTTCTCGGTAAAAGACATTTGAAACGAACTCTACCTGTGTGGCAGGTACATATTTTGACAACTCAGCGGTGCTGTAATCTTCAGTTATCAATCCGGCATTCATTTCGCATAACGTTACCTCGCCTATTAGGGGAGGAGCTGAAAAAACGGAGAATGAAGATATGCCTTAGTTTGGATGTTAATCTTGGTTCAAAGATGGCAGGAAGGTCGTTACAGGCGTCTTATTCACACGCGAGAGACTGGGTTCATTTTTCTCGTGTTTTGAAGTGTGTATTCAAGCGCCATCGTGGGATGTTCATCATCAGGAGCTAATTCCGAGTAACATTCGAAGCGATCCAAAGAAATCGTTACCAAGCGTTGAACGACCGAAGATGTTCCAAAACAAACAAATGCCGAGAGCGAGGAATATCGGTCAAAACTCGGCAGACTCTGTAATGACTTGTTACAATCACTCACTCAATCAACAGTATACCACTATGGCCTCCATAGGAAGCAGTATCCATATAAGAAACAGTGAAAAGAAGAGAAAGAACGAGCGCTTCGTTAACAAGCAAATTAATGGTAACATTAAACTACAATGTCTTTTAGTTTTGCGGGCAATTTCTTATCTCTCCATTGCTTGGGATTCATATTAGTTAGCAAATTTAACTTCAGAAGCCGGCAGCACCCTGTGAAAACCAGCATGCCGTGCTAGCCCTATCTAAAAAGTGCTCAGTATAAGTCCCTTCGCTTTCTCCTTTTATGTTAATTAGCCCTCAGAAAGTCCAGGCGTGTTGGGGATATGGTCCTTGAATGAGTTAATGCAGTTTTCAGGTAAATTCTTGGACGAAATGCCCTTTCTGCTTCAAAGCTACTGTTTCCTTAACGCAAAGAAATTAGGAACTTTGGTTTCTTCACAATTAGTTTGAGAAAGTTTAGTTAACTTTTTCTTAAGCTCCTTCACTTCTGCTGCGCATCAAAATTTAATTTCGGTGCGTTTATTACATGCTTTGAATAATAGTTATCGTCTCAGTAAGATAATAATTGTCTCAAATTTCCTAAATGCAGAAAACTAGAACCGGAAAAATCTTGTTTCGTCCACTAATATTGCGGGTGTATTTCCAAATGTAAATTCACTTATCAATAGCTCTTGACATCTCTTGTGAGATTCGATTTTAGAGCCAGATAAAACATAAGCTTGGGAAGTAGATTGACCAATCACATAATGCTTTGATGGGTCAGTAGATGGACGACAAAGGAGTAAGAGGAGGTTAGTTAAAGTGGTGGCCATGCTTCTCAAGGGATTAGTATTAAGATGAAAATTAGATCCCAGTTATGTTTACACAGTTTGATGAATGGACAATATGAACTTTTTGCGGTGAAAAGATTCCCAAGTTCTCCAAAATTGTTTTAGACAGTAATCCACGTACTATTCAAGAGAGGAAAACTTTTGAAGATGCAGTATTTAGTAATAACATTTAATCTGCCCCATACACAGATGCAAAATATGCTAATACATATGCTAGTGAGGTCTGGGGGTGTGCTTTTTATAGTAAATATTTAAGTAGAATTGATAAGCTCTTTGCCAGGTGTTATAAGCTGGGTTACTGCTTAAAGCAACACAGTATCTTGGATATCCGTTGTAATAGAGATAAGAAATTATGGCAAAGGATCTCTTCCACCAACACTGCGTTGAGCGATCTCTTACCTCCCCAGAGAACACGGCAGTTGAGAACTAGGTCGCATAATTATATTTTGCCTAAGGTCCAGACAAGCCGTTTTAAATCAGTTTTTATTAATAGATGTCTTTTCAATAGTAATTAATACCTTTTCTTTTTCCTTATTCATTTTATTCATGTTATTCATGTTAATTGTAGCACGTCTGTTTGCACAATTCTTAATAAAGACCTTTATTATTATTATTAAAAACAAACCGCGGTTGGCGTTGTTTTATTATTACTCGCATTTTCTTCGGTTTCTGGATCAGTGGAGTCTTGATGAACCCACCTGTCGTCCTATACTGAAATAAATATAGCTTGTCATGTGGGAAATATTTGATGATATCTTTATAGCTGATTTCAAGTAAGGATTGCAACTGATTTTTTCCTTATATTTCAAATAAGCACTTAAATATCGAAACAGTCGAAATACAGCTATTGGAAGCAATCCAAATTTTGACGAGATCAAGCAATATCTCTTCGACAAGCACGACAAGCAACAATAGCAAGTTTCTTAGAATTTCAATTAGTTTCGCATCTACGTCATATTGTTCAAGTAGAGGAGATCGCGGCCGCCTCGCGTCCATTTGGGAGCCTTTCCTCTTTCCCTAAATTGTAAGACCAATAGTCCACGGAATGGTTCACTGATCAGGATGTTAGTCTTGGTGTTACCTATAACTTTAATACAACGAAATTAAACTCCATTGCAATCAAATAACATATCTATTTTCACGTAGATTCTCCTCCAAAAACATCTGCCTCTTTGGCCAAATCGACCACTGCGACCTTCTGACAATATATCAGTCCTGACATGATATCAGTCCTGACATGAATGAGCAATGAACATGCAGAATAATTTTTTACTCAGGCTTGGCCCAGTTGTTCAAAGGGCATCTAGTGTTATCCCAGGCCTGGCGCTATCCAACGTATAAATTCCTATCCAGCGGATAAGTGTTTTCAAAACGTAGTGCGGCGCTACTTAGTATTCACCAAATAAAGATTTATCCGGTGGACAGCGTAATACCACGTGGCATATTTTGCGCATTTCAGTGCCCTTATACGGTGAATGACGTAAATGTGGAGTATTCTCCCACAACCGCATGGAAATAGCGTTCACGATCTCTTCGGTATCTTCCGCTTTTCATTTGCCTTCTAGAGAACACCCTGTGAAGTTAAACATATCCTCAGGTCTATCAAAATGAAGTTTGGCGTTCGTCTGGACAAATTCAACTTTTACAGTTTTGATATGGAAAGAGAGTCACATGGGAAGCTTCTTCCTCCTCAGGTTGAAGCTCTTCAAAGTCTCGAAAATTTTTTCCACCGCAACCCTCTGGGGCATACTGCTATAATTTCCATGCCGACAGGATCTGGCAAAAGCGGTGTGATAAGTTGTCTACCATACTTTTTAGGGAAAACTGGGTTAACTCGGCCCACCAAGATTGGTGTTTCTCCGGAGGGGAGTCCACTTCATCCATTTGATAAGCCCGTGCTGGTTATTGCGCCAGATCTGGCGATTGCAAAGCAACTGGAGGGATCTTTGTTGCGGGTGCAGGAAGGAGAACAGGAGGATAATTTTCTGCTGCGGAGAGGGATAGTGCCCGAAGAGAATGCCCGAGATGTTCTTCCAGTAGGAAAGAAGATCGAGGAAACATTGGAGGTCAAGCAACCCAACATATTAAAAGGAAACGAAATTCTGATCGCTAACGCACAGAAGTTTCTAGGGATAGATTGGGAACGTACTTTACCTAAAGACCTATTCCGACTTGTCATCGTCGATGAAGCGCATCATCACCCAGCTACAACATGGCGTCGAATCGTGAACCACTTTCAGTACCATGCAATGGTGGTCTTTTTTACTGCTACACCTTTCAGAGGTGACCGTGTGCGTGTTATAGAAGAGGGAGAAGGGAGCATCATATATCACCTGCCACTTAACGAAGCACGCCGAAAGAGAATAATACGTGTTACTAACTTCGTTGAGATTGAAGACGACAATAGGGATGCTAACATCTACAGAGAAGTCCTTCGGAGAGTACAAGCAGAGCAAGAAAGAAAAGACGCCGAACAACCTTTGCCTGACGGTATACCCCACATGGCCATCGCCATAGCGAAGAATATTGACGAAGCAAAGCTCGTGGTACAGATAGCCCTTGATATTTGGAACTGTCCCGCTGAACTAATAACTACGTACCATTCAGATAATCCAAATCACATAAGACGGGCGACGATGACAGCAATTCGAGAAAACAAAATAAGGCTTGTAGTTGTGGTGTCTATGCTTCTTGAGGGTTTTGATCACCCACCAATAAGCATAGCCGCCATAATGACGAAAATTTCCTCCCCTGTGAAGTTCGTGCAGTTTATTGGAAGGGCACAAAGAATTGTTCGTGGTAAAGATGGTCAGCCGGAATCTGAAGGTATAGAAGCACACATTTTTACTCACAGAGAATATGAACAAGCGAAAAATTACGAAGCCTTTCAACTAGAGGAACTCATACCACATCATGACTGAACAAGGTTCTGTAGACGTACTTACATCCTAGAAACAGAGGAAACATTGTTTCTACTTTACAAATGAATTTTATTCTAACTTATAACCGTTGCTGTAGAATTTAGTATATCGAAAGACTATTTTTCAGTTCCTGTTTGAGTCGTCAGAGATTCAAATTGGAAGTCAAACTTATAACTTGACAGTTAGCTGTAACAATTCGTTTTTTTTTTTACTATGGAAGGTAGATGACTGTGTAACCTTTTAAAGTAGAACTTACATATAGTTGACTACTGATTAACCTTTCAATTATGGTTCTAGAAAGGGAAACCAACCAGATTGTGAGTTTTTTTTTTCAACATAGTGAAATAAACTACATTTCTAAACTTTTTTACGACTGCTTGCTGACATTTTAGATTAAAGTCCTACCCATCCCCACCTAGCCTGATTTTAAGCCAGTTATATGCCACTGCCTGCTAAAATATTTCCCAAATTAAAAGAAAAAACTGTGGCATTACTGGCTTGACCACCTCACTCACCCCCCCCCCCTCAAACAAACAAAAAACAAAAGAAAAATTACAATAAGTGAATTAATAAATGTTGAACTAATTGCAAAGGGGAATAGTGGTTACCAGTTGTTTTGTTCCCACAGTTAAGCAATAATTCAAGGTGTTTTTATTTGGAAAGTCCTAATTAACCCTTAAACTCCTAAGATCTTATTGCCAATTCTTCCCTTCACCTGCTACACATTTCCTTGTAAATTAGTTACAAATATTTAGTACTAGATCAAGGTAACAATTTCTGCCTGTTAACTTTGAATATTCTCATAACCTGTTTGCCAGATATTGATATTATAGGGAGAAGTTATGTGTAAATCACCAAACAGAATTTTGCTGGTAGCTTTCTCCCTTGGCTACACTAACTTCTCATTTGAAACAATCAACACATGTTCATGCCCCTCTGCAAGGTATTTGGAATGAATGTATATTTGGATGACTAGTGCTTCAGATACGAAATATCTCAAACTGGGTATGAATCGACCAAATTTGGGTACAAAAGTACCAAAATTTCACTGTACTTTTCACTTCTATTAAACAGTCACTGCTAATAAGCAGTCATAGTCACCCTTGACTGAGTTCCAACACCATGTTTGTATTGTCCTCCACCTGTATTGAATGGTCAGTAAGTGCAGAACCACTCAAAAAAAAAACTAATAATAATCTTTCAAGTACAATTACATCCATGCTTGTCTGCCACAAAATTGATGCTAACAGCATTTTTAGCAAGTTTTTGTACATTTCATGGTCACTTATGGTGTAAATGATGTTTGTTATCATTTTTTACAGTACCCCTATTCTGTGAAACGCGTATTTAGCACTCAACCTGTATTAAGTGGTCACCCTGCCACTCCCCATGGATGACTGCTTAATACAGGTTTGACTGGAGTAGGGATACAAGAATACAAGGCTATAAACCTTCTATATCACTTCTTTATAGAAAATGTCAAAAAGACCTTTCTTTGAGCATTAGTATGAATATTCGTTTTGGATTTTCAATTAAGTTGCATTGTTACATTTGTCTCCATTTGCTTGCAGAGCTCTCTTACGTGTGTTTTCTTTTCTATTACTTTTTGTGCTATGCTGTGCTACCTTAATAAGTGCCCCTCCTCAATTAAGTGCCCAGCTTTACTTTCAATAAGCTAACCCCTCCCTTAGAAAGCTGCATCACTCTCTTTTGATATGAATGGAGCCTTGAAAAAAAATCTCAAGCCTTTAATAAAAATGTCAGGCAGTAAATCACTAGTTACCACCATTTGCTACTTGTACCAGCCCTCTATAAAAGTGTTGAGGAAAGTGGGATAGTTGCCTGAGATGAACTGGCATCTGACATGAGGGAGTAACAAAACTTCATGTGATGATCTTACTTGTGGATTACAGCAGAACAGAGAAGATGCTGTATTTCAATCTCTTAAAATCTAAACCTTATGAGAAAACTAAAACTTGGTGTTTTCTGTTGGCTGGGGAATGAAGGAAGTGGAAAACATTTTTCTTACACCTGGGAGTTCGGGAGCTAGTGTGAGGGGGTTTTGACGCATCGTTGGATGTAATTTACAAAATTTCTTCTTGCCTTTTGTTGTTCTCAGACCTCCCCCCACCCATCCTTCAAGCTGGATAGTTTTCAATGCCTCAAAGTTGTCATCAGTTAGTTCTGAGACTTTCTCTCACAGTTGTGAAGACTTCGCTGGACAAGCCTTTTTAATAAGACAGGTAGTTGTTTGGTAGTAAATTTATTCAAGTTTGTTGTGGCCTGTAATCTGGGAAGCATTTTTCCTCTAGTTTGCTCTCTTGTAATATTTTGACGCTCTGTAATAAAGGCCAGGCTGCATGGTTAGGCTTGACATGGCTCCCAGTTGTGTGTGAGAAGTGTTAAGAATACAACAAAACTGAATACTTTCTCCTTACAATATCAATACAATATCAAGCAGACAGATGATGAGAATATAGAAAAGTATTAGGGGATTTTCATTTGATTCAAGACCAAATAGGCCATTTTACAGTTGTGTACTTAGTTGCCAAGCCTTTGATTGAGAGTGAGGCTGAAGATGACCTTATTGTGATAGAGACTAGTATCTAGTTAGCATGATAACAAAGTGATTTACATTTGAAAGGTAGCAAGGTTTGTATCATAACAAGGTCACCCCTAGCCTCACTCCCATTCAAAGGCTTCGCAACCAAGCACACAACTGTAAAATGGACTATTCTCAGAACTTAATTAAATTATAAGCAATGCCTAGGAGACAGTATAGCGAATTGCTAAGAAAAGAAATCTTGGAGGTGAAAGAGTTAGCCCTACCTCCACACCAGACAAGTAACAGCTTTCTGTTGTTTGTGCTCTAATATAGGGACCAAATCAATGAAAAAAAAAAACAAAAAGAGATTTTCAAATATTTTTATTCATAAGCTATCATGTTCTCTCAGATAAACACATTTAAATAAAACATCATTTTGTAGATCAGAAATTAAGTTAATTTTTTAGCTTGGATATTCTTGCAAATAAAGATTCTTTATAAGTTACATAATTATGTTATTCACTTGGGCTGCATTAACAACAACAACAACAACAATTTATTTTAGGATTAAAAATATAGCTAAGTACATTGGTTTCTCCCCACAAATAACTTATGAACTAATCGAGGCAGGGAGATCTAAGCACAATTTACAAGTATAATATTTATCTACACATGGACTAAATAAATGAAAACACTGCTATACAGTAAATAGAATAAGCATAAAACAGAGTAAGTATATTAAGATTATGAAAAGAGGCTAACCTAAAGTATTAAATAACTTAATAAGACGGGACACTTCGACATATTCATCTTCTAACGGTAAAACATTTAGTAGTAACTCCTTTATCTTTTTACAAACGTTTAAGTTGTTTAATCGAATAGGGCTTATACTATTTTGCGAAACGAAACGAAATGAAATAGTACTATTTTGCGAAACGAAACGAAATTTTGCGAAATGCCGTTTTTTCGCCTTTATTTAGGAAATGTGTCATCTTCGTCCGAAACAAAATGTGTCCACTAGTAAAATGATCAATATTTCTAAGGGCCTGGTCACCTCTCATTTTATTGACCATAATAGAACTTGTTTCGCAAAGTAGTAATTTTGACAGAGTTACAATTTTGCGAAATGGCGTTTTTTCACCTTTGTTTAGCAAATATGTCCTCTTCGTCCGAAATAAAATGTGTCCAATAATAAAATGATCAATATTTCTAAGAGCCTGGTCACCTCTCATTTTATTGACCATAATAGAACTCGTTTCGCGAAGTAGTAATTTTGACAGAATTACCATTTTGCGAAATGGCGTTTTTTCACCTTTATTTAGCAAATATGTCCTCTTCGTCCGGAACAAAATGATCAATATTTCTAAGAGCCTGGTCACCTCTCATTTTATTGATCATAATAGAACTCGTTTTGCAAAGAAGTAAGTTTGCCAGAGTTACTATTTTGCGAAATGGCATTTTTTTTCACCTTTATTTTGTAAATATGTCCTCTTCGTCCGAAACAAAATGTTTCCACTAATAAAATGATCAATATTTCTAAGAGCCTAGTCACCTCTCATTTTATTGACCATAATAGAACTCATTTCGCAAAGTAGTAATTTTGACAGAATTACTATTTTGCAAAATGGCGTTTTTTTCACCTTTATTTAGCAAATGTGTCCTCTTCGTCAAAACAAAATGTGTCCACTAATAAAATGATCAATATTTCTAAGAGCCTGGTCACCTCTCATTTTATTGACCATAATAGAACTCGTTTCGCAAAGTAGTAATTTTGACAGAATTACTATTTTGCGAAATGGCGTTTTTTCACTTTTATTTAGCAAATATGCCCTCCTCGTCCGAAACAAAATGT